AACCGCAATTTAGCTCTCCTGCGTCCGATCCGTCCCAACCCTAACCCGTATCCGACACAGTAGAATATTTTTCACCCGTTTCACCAAAACTCTTCTTGGCAGGACCTTTATGGGAATGATGGTCATACTAATATAGATGGAGTTATGACACTAGTCTAGTTCTGTGTCTTGTTTTCTGCTTACCTATAGTTTACAAAACAGACCTGTGTTTTTAATATAAGATAAAACCAGGGAAATTACTTGAAATGTTTTCATATTTTTTCTATAATTGCAGATTTGCACAATAAATATTCTACGTTCATGACTACTTTGAAATGTGTTAACAGTTCATTATACAACTTCCTGCTGCAATGCCTTTGCTATGGACATATGTTACCCTTTCAAAAACAGTTATATTGAAATTTACAGATGAAATCATATACCGCAATATATACCGTCTACCGTCTATAGTTCAAATTATACCGTAATATTTTATGCCATATCGCACAGCCCTAATTAAGAGTACAAAAATTTTTTTTATAGCAGCTGAATCAATGTCATGAAAAATACAATCTTTTTTATAAAATATTATTAAATAATTCTATGTTATCTAATGTCGATATACATATATATGTGACTGGGAGAGAGCATGCGAGCATGTCTGCATTTATTACGGACAAAGTAAACATTTATTGCGGAGAAAAAGCCTTTTCCGCAATTTACGCTAAAAATGCGGCGCCTTGCGCTCTTGTGAAACTCCAAAGACTTTAATGACTGAACGCTGGAAATAAGACGACTGGTGAGGAAAAACCCCTGAACGGCAGGCGGCAAATTTCGTTTTAAAACGCGTCTGGTTGTGTGCGAATACTACAGTGATGACCTGTAAATGAGATAAATAACATAAGGCTATTTAGTTTGTTTAATAAAAGGACAAGATATAGACCTGTTCTATAGGAAAGGTAGCCTTAAATGACTTCTGTTGTGATCTGGCGCTATGTAGAATAGAGGTGGGCGATAAATCGATTTTATCGATTAATTCGAATTTACGGTTCAGGACGATGTGTTTTTATGAAAATCGATTTTATTACTTATTTTACACGCGAGCGCCAAAAGCGGAACTAATGTGATGCACCGTTCTTCACGGGTTAATTAGCGTGGAGCACCCAAACACTCTAGCGGATTCACAAACAACATGGCAATGGTTCAGTTTTGCACCGTCGGACACAGACCAAACAAGTCCTCGTTGCAAAGTCTGTTGCTCACATTGCTGCTTAACACAATGGCTACTTCTGAATAGGTACACTTCACGGGAAATATCCTCCAAATCAGACTTAGAGAAAAGAACAGTGTGGCAGAAAATACTGTTGAACATGAATGATAACACTGGGTTACAAAAAAATTTTTTTGTGAGTTGTCTAATATATTTCTGCTGATTTTACATATTTCTGGCCCACAGAACACGAATATGGCATCAGTTTTTGTAGATCAGGTCAGGTTTTTCAGCTAAGTTGATTTTAAAATAGTGCGATTTTCTGTCTCGAAAAATTTAAATTTACCACAAAATTAACTTTATATATGCAAATTGTATGTTCAATCATCACTGTTCAAAACTTGGGGCTTAAATTTCCTTTTCCTTGAAGTTCTGGAATGTCCAGCGGCAGGGATGTCTCTAGTCAGAATGTATTCGCCGCAAATGTAACAAAAGACATCAGGCTTATTTCTGCAAGATCTTCTTAATGATGCCATCTCATTAACTTTGAAACTCTAAATAACAATATTTGTAATATGCAGCAACAAAATTTTAAGTATAGGCCTATAAATGAGAAACACACACGCACACAATGTAGTTTACGTAATGCTTTGCATGGCATCAGTTTATCTAATTTCGACAATAGATCAAAAAGTTGACCTGGTAGCGCAAAACCAATGTGATTTTTGGATTTAGCGCATTAAAATTATCCTAGATCAGCTATAAAAAGTTAGACCTTTTTTTCACTGTTGACCAGTGTAATGCATTTTCAAGACATGATCATTGATTTGCATGATTTAGCTCTAAGGTTAGAATGTTTATGTGGTTAAGCTATTTTTGATAGATTATTAACAGCCTGTTATTTCAACTGGCCTAGCACATCATCCCAGGCACTGGGCAAGAGTCAAATATCAGTCCATCAAAGAAAGAAAAAGGTGCTCATCTGTTCATACTTCCACGTAAAGCGGTCCCAAAGTTCAAGGAGAAGTTAATGTTTAAGTCTCAAACATAGTCTTGCATATGCCACATAATTCTTAAAAGTGGAGTGGGTACCATGGTAAATATCTACTAACTGAAGTACAAATGATAAGTGTCACAACTAAACACTGAAGGGTATGCGTCCCAACAAATGTTCATTTCAAGCTCAAAAAGTCAGTCTGAAAGAAATAACCCCCCACCCCTTAGCTCTGAGTTACTTATAAGAGCAGTACATGTCTCTGGACCATTCTCATTTGAGGGTGCTTGGTTTAAGAACTGTTGAAAACCCCTGAGCCAAAGTACAATTCAAAACAATATTCCATAAATAAGAGATTAAATCATCAAAAACTGAAAAAAAAACCTTAGCAAAATACCTGGACAACTAAACCCAACTTCTCACATAAACAATTTAAGCTGATATTCTGAACAAACTTCCATCCAAACATTAACAATGGTCCACCTGGACACTACTCATTTACCAAGGAGGATCTCACAAAATCTTTCAACTTTTCAAAGTAGATCTGAGCAAAAAACAACATGAAATATAAAAGAACAAATAAATACTTTGTGTATAATCAGTGTCTAAGAATACACAAGGTTTCGGATATCAGATAGAGAGTGTTACCCTTGATTACTTCTGATATCTTACAGTGACCCAGTGAGAATGGCAGCTGATCTCACCCCCTGGCATCTACAATTACACAGATGAACCTGCTTCTCTGTAGGGCTGGATATGTTTCAACAAAGGTAATGCAAAAGCACCACAGACTTTTAAAACTCCATACACATCCCCTGTCCTGTAAGAGAGGACAGGGGATTGTTCCAGAAAGTAGGACAGACCAAGCATTGCATCAATCTGACTCCTTATTTCCTTTAATTTATTTTGCATGTGATAAGGATAAGTCTTTTGGCTCAGATGGTAATATTTATACTTTGAGTCTACAGCTACCTACATCTTTTGTTTAAAAGCGTAAAATGCATTAATTATATGTGCAAAACAAGTAATCTGGCAAAATTTCTTGACCTTAACCAACACTAGAGCAAACTAATAATTATTCCGGCAAATGATGAAATGAATCCCATCTGAAAAGATGAAATAACAATTGCTCATTGTCATTAGAGGGAAAATAAAAAGCACACGCCCAAACAGTTTCACTTAATATGTCAAAGAATTCATTTTGGACTTGTTCGCTTTTGAACTTGCTACATTCCATAAGCACTTACTCAGTGGAGTATCACAGTGATCCTGTAGGCTATCATGAGAAGCTTAGGGCAGGGAACACCCTGGATGGGACATCAGGCCATCACAGGGCTCACACCCAACTTAGAAAGACTAATTAACCTAAATGCATGTTTTCACACTACAACAGAAAGTCAGAGTACCTGGAGGAAATCTATGGAAACATTAAGAAAATACACAAATTCCAGAAACAGGGACGGGATTCAAACCACTCAGCCAGGGAGGTTTCAGGCAACAGAACAACAGAGTGTGAAACAGTGGCACCACAACTAAATACAAGCAATTAAATCTGGTAGAGCACCACTTACAACACTGACTTTATTATAGCAAAGTGTGAATATTTTTTTTTAAGTAAAAAAAAAAAAAACAAAAAAAAAAAAAAACAAGCTAAGTAACAGACAAGACATTAGGCTTACAAAAGTGCTCATAATAAGTTCAAGTTCAGAAAAGACTGCCAGCAAACACACATGTCCTGGCTCAAATAAAATAAGGGCATGCCAATATATGTAATGTAAGATGAGCGCAGAACAACAGTAACAAAATGCAGCCATCTACAAGTTCAGATTCAATTATGAACTGCAACTTGCATGAGTTGAGAGAATATTGTAGGCCCCCCCCCCCCCAATCTATATAATAATAATAATAATAATAATAATAATAATAGTAGTAGTTATACTTATTATTGTTATTATTTGATACGTCATTGATCCCTTTGGGGGAATTCTATTTACGCCTCCCCCAACTTGCTCTCGGTAGGCGAGTCAATAAGCAGAATAAACTCCACGTGTAGAGCAGCCGACTCGTAGTTCAAAAAAGTATACAGACACTCATCAAAAACTTAAACATGCTGTAAAAAGCCTAAGAAACGGCCACTGACGAAGGGTAATTTACAGTAACCAATGATCTGACAGGTGGTGTCAGCCAGGCGAACAGCCAGGGAACCGGTGAATCCACAGAGCATACCCTTACTATAAGACCCTTATGAAAATCTGCAAAGGAACCTGTAAATCCACACAGCATACAAGAGCCATATTAAAACTGTACTAAGGGCTGAGAAGAGACTGCCAGCGCATGCTGCTTCCGAAAAGCAGAAGTATGAAAGACGTGAAGCTCTCCCGAGAAGCCAGCCAGATGCGCTGAGGACATACTGGGTGCTGGGGAGATGTCACCTACTCGGGCGTTACAACAGTATGTCGATGCCAAAAACGGCGATGATACCCAGGCGGCATCCCGGTTCGATAACCACCAAAATAGTCTTTGTTTAGATGCCAATGCTATCCAGGCCAAAACGGTTACGGTGGCACGCAGCATGTCAAAGAGACACGACACGGCGGACTAGTAAAGATACCACGTTGCCAGAACGAACAATTAAATGAAAACGGTTTACAAAATAGAATTTATAAAAACAAAGGAACAAGCTAAGCTTTGTACGATCCTTTGTTTCGCCCACATCCCAAAGAAGTTGCTAGAGACACACACCGTGCATGGCCGATAAGCGGGCACCTCAGACATACAGTACCCAGCGACCTCAGAAACTAAAAGACACGCACTCACCCAGAACCACCCGGACTTTTAAGTATCACCTCAGAGTCATAATGTGAACGAAAGGGCTGTCGGCAGTGTTGTTCTAAAACAAGAAGGTAGACTTCGCTTCAATGGGAAACACACGGCGTGGCGGTAGGCGACAATGACAGCTCAGCGCAGCAGGAGAGTGAACAGGCTGCTGCCCAGGGCTGCCGAGGCTGAGACCGGAAAAGCGGGGCAGATCACCGGATGTGGCGTCACGCCGCTGATGAGTAGCGAGCGCGTGGCGCTGTTCTGCTTTTCTGTTCGTGTGATGGCGGTTTTAATGCTAAAATGCTAAATGTAGAGGAACTGTGATGAATGTATAGAAGTGTAGCTTTACGAATTTAATTTAGAAATTACAAGCGGGTATAGAAAATGAATGAATGGAAATGCAAAAGCATCTACAGGTTTTGCTAGATTTGACAAGTAATTCACAACTGTGTCCTGTAATATGACGAAAAGGAAATAATGATCTGTTTAACCTTTTGCATCTTAATTCTTAACTATACTCAAGCTTCGTTTCAGACAGGGCCATATTAGAGAACTTATAACATTTATTGTTATGGTTATGTTAATTCAGACTGTGAGTGTGGGTTTATAGAGGATAACTCCCAGACTATGTTAACTTGTTAAACTGGTTTAATATTAACCCAGGAAGGACACACTGGCATTCAGCACAATATCGATGTTTGCTACAGTCATAAGCAGGAACTCAAACTCTTCTCTGATTAGTCACCCCCAAGACAAAATTAAGAAGGACTAACTCAACTATATGATCATTTTATAGTTTCCCTTAAAGACAAACTAAAAGTGACTTAAACCAACCTACATTGAATGTTTACTGTGATACAGTGTAATGTAAGGCCACAATTCATATTTTGAGGCCACACCTAATACAATCACTCTTGATTGCTTAGAAGACGTTTTATCAAAAGTGGTGTAACAATCTGATTAATCCAATGGGATGCTACAATATCTATAGACCTATATGTGCTTTTTATTTCAGTAATCAGCTAAAGTATGCCCAATTAGGAAGATCAGATACCAGACCTAAAGCAAATGGAAGTAGGCACAAAGGAGCCCTTGAAGTACTCAATCATGCATCTTAGGTAGATTCACTGAACTGATGCCCTTCAACTGAATGAGGTCTCTGTTGAAGGGATAGGGCTCATTGTTCAGAAGGCAGCACACAATTCTTCTTTCCACCACTGGTTTCAAGGGATCAAGACTTAGTCCTATGACGGAGCTAGCTTTCCTCAAGTGTTACCTCAGCCTAGCAAGATCCTTCAACATGATGTTACCCCCCAGTAAACAGCAATGAAGAAAACAACACTTGTGATAATAAACTGCAGAACAGGTTCCTTTATAGACTCCCTCCGTGTTGTCTTGTCAGTCCAGCCTGTCATTGATGTACATGCTGAGATACTTATAGGACTATACACCTCTACAATCTCTCCAGATGCTGACAGCAGTCAGCAGCTCCCTTCTCCACCTGAAGTCCACCAACTGTTGTCTTTGATTCTGAGCCGCATGTGGTTCTTAAAGCACCCAACAAAACTCTTCACCATTCATACTCATTTTCTTTCGCTTCACTGATACATCCCACAAATACAGTGGCAGTGTGGGTGTGATGGTCCGCTTCGGTGTGCTTTATGCCTCTATGCCTTGTCAGATCCTGGAGCAATAAAACAGATATAGCAAACACCTTGAATCCAGTTGTAAGAAATCTCAACTGTAATGTTTTTTAAAATAAAAAATTGCTGCAGTAACCCAGATATCATTCTTTCATTTTTCAGCAATTATATCAGCAGTGTTTTCAGGCTGTAAGTGTGCATTTCCATCTACCCCTCTCGCCTGACCCGACCTGACCATCTCTTCAATGATACAATATACTGTAGCTGTTGGCTCAGATACTTGTCTTTGAGTGCACAAAATACTACTGTGCCTTATCATATAAGTTACAAAGCACAAACAACAGATTTGGAAGCCTACCATATTTGTTATTGCTCAAGAAAGCAGACACAGGGATCACATTCTGCTGTTCTGTAATGCTCTGCTGCTTTTAAGGGATCTTGCATCTAGATAATTTTGATACCTTGGGGAATAAAACAGATTAAACCATCCTAGTTCATCTGATTGAATGTTGAAGGCTCTCTCTGTGAGCCTACTCTAGGCAATGCTGTAATCTTGGCAGCACTAGGAATGCAATGGTGCCCAAGCTGAGACAGTAACAGCAGACTACCACATCCCATTCTCAGACAAGCTCAAAGACTCCTACAAAGCAGCCCCAACAGCACAAGCTGGCTTATCTTGCATCTGCTGCACATGAAGTTCGGCTGGTCATTCAGATATTCCATGTACTGTGTTTGCATGTAAAGGCTCTCTGTCACTGGGATTAGTCACATGGTGCTCATTCAGACTGATGTGCCCAAATTGACCACACATACATAACACTGAAAAAAAAACACTATTAAAAGAATGTGCAATGTCTCTAATCCCTTACCAGATGCATCTGCTTATCCCATGAAGTAGGTGTGCCCCAGTGTTATTATAGTATTTTTTATTTTAGCTTTTATTTTTATATCATTTTCAATGTTCATTTGAAATCCATTTCTATTTCAGTTAGTTTTCAGTGAGGTTTTATTGGTTTTTATTTTTTTAAATATCTCTATTTAGTTTTTTATAAAATTAAGGTTCAGTTTTAGTTTTTTTATTTTTACTGATAGACTGAAAGTTGTAGAGCTATTTTAGATCTGTGGTCTGTAGAGCATCCTATATGAATACATGGAGCATTGTATTAATATCATCAAAAATGGCAAAGTGTACTCCAGGTATTACTGATGGTCATTAAAGATAAACAAATCATTACTTCAGCTGAAAAGTATTTTTAAAAAAGTACCATAAAGTTTTTGATGTTTGCTTTTATTATTCAGTTAGTTTCAAAAGCGAAATGTATAGTTTTCGTTTAGTTGTACTTTTTTGTTTTTCGTATCTTATTTCAGTTTATGAAAATATTTTCTGTAGTTTTAGTGTCCGTCAATGAAAATAACCCTGGTGTGCCCATGATGTGCAATTTGGCAACAGCAGTATTACCACCTACTGTTACAGCTAGAAGAACAAATGACTTGAAGGCAGGCATTTTGGGTGAAACACAAGGGGTTTTATTTGAACACAGCTAAACAAACAGGGACTGGAAATAAACAGGACCAGAAGGGATCACAATTGAGAAGGCTAGACATGGGAAGAACATGAGCTGACAGGTGGAGCAACGTTAATGATCGGACTAACAAGGATGAGACAAACAGGTACTTAAATACATAGACCAACATGAGGCAATAAGCATCAGGTGTAGCCCATCAGGGCCAGGTGAGGGAGGAGACAGGAGGGTCAGGCAGATGTGGTGGGCAGGACACACCCTTCCCCGAAGCATGCCCTCCAGGCATGAGAGACAAATGACAGGATGGACACACAGGGCAAGGAACAGACAGGACACTAGATAGGACAGGGCATGGCAGGACCGAGAGGACACGTGGGACAGACACCACAAAAGGTTAGAGGGACTGAACCACAGGACAGGGCAGGACTAACGGCATAAGGGGCACAGAACAGGCAGGGATCAGACCAGAGACCAACAGGACAACAGGTGAGACCCATGGACAAAATCACGCATAGACAAAACATACCAGACACTGGAAATGATCAGGTACCAAGGACAATCAATGGGGACCTGGAAGCAGAAGAAACTGAGACAAAGATAAACAGAACAGGCCATACCAAACAGGGCAGACAAGTAGAGGGGCAATAGAAAGGAGTGGGAAAAGAAGAGGGAACCACTGAGGATACAGGACGGGCAAAAAAAAAAGGCAGGACAGGACACTGGGACAGAGGCACGATGAATGAAAACTAGGGCCATCTTCTGGATCTTAGGAAGCTGGGCAAACGACCCTAGGATGCGGATCCTCTTGGGCCCGCTTACCGGCAAGGCGGAGCCAGACTGGAGGGCACGGGGTCAAGGGGTCTGCTGGACCCGAAGACGCCAAGTGGCATGCAGGACAGGAGCAGGAGGGTGACAAAGGGACTACAGGTCAGGAACAGGATGGCGCCAAGGGAACTGCAGGGCAGGAGCTGAAGGGTGCCATAAGTTTCTCTCCCCAAGGGCACAGCAGGAAATGTATCCAGGGAAATAATGCCAGGTCGACCAGGGTCTAGGAGGCTGGCCCGGACAGTGTGTCTGGAGATGGAGACTCAGTCAGTCCCTCTTCTGGGCCCCAGTTTGTATCGTTGACCGCTCCAGGACTTAGGACTAGGTTGGTGCAAACATTAGGCTGAAGTGGGGGACCATGGTGTGGGACTTAGGGCAATACCTAGATGGTCCCATTCCTAGTCCTCCGGCTGGGCATCATCTAGGTTAGCCAAACACTGTCCGGCATCAGCTGGGGAGTCGGGCATTAGCCTGGCAGTAGCTGGAAAGTTGGGCATTGGCCTTGCGGCAGCCAGGAAGTCAGGCGCTGACCTGGCTGCGGTCAGCAGGGTATGAGGAGGACAAAGTGGGTGTCTGGGAAATGAGTGGAGACAAGGAGAGTACCAGTGAGACACCAGTAGACTGGACTGGAGCCAATGGCAAACTAGAAGACTGGGCTGGAACCAGTGGGACATCATGAGACGGGGTGAGGCTGAGACAAGCAAGGCATAGCCGGAAAACACCTGGAGGCAAAGCCAGGACACCTGAGTGAGGTTCAGTCAACATGGCTGCTGCAAGGCCAGGTGCATGCGATGTAGCCCTTCTTAGGCTGGGAGCCTGGAACTCGAACGGAGCCTCCTTTTCTGAGCCGGGAGCCTGGGGTGTAGGCAGAGTGGCACTTTCTAGGGCATCTCCCCCATACAGTGATGAACCTTCTCTGCCGCCTGGGGCTCCTAGTCTGGGGTGAGCCCCAGTAGCATCTCCCACAAAACACGAGGCAAAAGTCTGCAAAGTCTGAATGGACAGTACCCTAGTTACAGCTCTGCATACGTACATCAGTGGGAGCACTGCCCTGCTTTCCTTGCTGTCACCATTGGTCCCAATAGAGCAGATCTCTACGCCTCCTATCCTCCCTACCTTCACTTCCATTAAAATTTAAGGAAGATGACAAACACAGTGAAGAAAATGTCTGCAATTCTGCACCTTGCACTTTTACGTGTGCAGAGTACTGTCACTGTGCAACCGA